GGAAAACCGATCTAGTACAACTAGTGTCTGTCCTTCGGGTCGTAACCAGCGAGTAGCCAATTAAAATTGTACGGAGTTTTGCTGCGAAGTGCCTCAGCCAAATTTCTCCTGATAAAGTTTGCAGCCGAATAACGGTGTCAACTCATAACCATTTCTAATCTCGTACAGTTGCATGTTTAGTTGAATAAATTCAGCAAATTGAACAGCATCGCCAGCCTCACGACAGACAGCTATAACACTTTGATTACTTGCTTTGAACACTTTGTCAGCATCGCCTTTTAGTGTCATGATAGAAAAGATAATTCTGGAATCTGCAGCAATAATTACAAAGTCTTTAAAAGCTATTCCAATAACACACTCCGTCAGAAGACCCGCAGAATCAGAATATTTATACATGCCGGTATATAATCAAGTGTACTATTAATCACAGTTGTAAAAAGTTGTACGATTTTGCCTTAGTATTATAATGATCGGATTTATAGCAGCATAAAAAATGTATATACAGTGACAAAAAATAACCTAATCAACTAAATCAATAAAGATTTTGGTAGATAATGAGATTCCAGCGGTGTTAGAATTTCCTCGGCTTAGTCCTCGGAATAAGAAATATGGAATACAGTGTTTGACGTGAAATATTTTGCGCATGATCTTGAATAGCTATGACTAATATCTTAGAGGAACCACATATATGTGTTATTTCCTTTATCCCATTTTGGCATTAGTTGTGCATTTTAAAATTATACCAGACATTTAAAAAATTACTGTGGTTTTCGACTGGTACTTGCGTTTGTAGTCAATGTGGGCTTAAAGTTTAAAAAAGTATACTGGCCAGAATAAGAAATTACTGCACGAGTTGTAATGATTTCATTGGGACATCAAGTATCTACAAACCCTTCAAAATTACTTTTCCTGATTTTATTGTTTAACAATCTTATTCCCCCGAAAAAAATTGATTAAAGCTCACAAACAGATAGTGCATTTGTAGTGGATTAAATCTTGTAATGTTAATGACTATTCTTATGTTATATGCACTATAAACCTAATACTACATTTTATGGCAGCACACAAGCTGCTGACCCTTAAACAGGTGTCATGTAGATAAAATTACCCGGCATTAAAATGTGTAGATTGATAATTTGGGTATTATGTAACAAACAAGACATAGGATATCTCGATGTACACACCTTCTTCATGCCGATCGTTAGCTGCACCCTGATGCTTAACCGATGTGTCTAGAGTCAGTTCTATGTCAAATAGGTGAAGAAAATAAGCAGTTAATAAGGAGATAATCACTCATCCAATTCTATTTACTTTCAATGATACGTAAAATTAACTTTCCATGTTGGTGAGGATTTTAATAACAGCTTTAGAAAATTGAATAAAATTTTATTGACTATCGACAATTTTTGGTCAAAAATTGAATAACACAATTTCGAATCTAATCCTGACTTTCGGTGATTCCATCTGCTAGAAAATTACGGCTTAAATACAGTACTATTACGGTCAAGGCTTAAAATCATCGAAACATAATATAGGTGGACTTTCTACATCAACTTCTGTTTTAAAGCAACAATTAATTCAATTTAGAAACAACAACGTAAAATCTGACTGGGCAGTTTCTTTATACATATGATTTAATGTAATTTGGTGAAGTTTTACAATTGCAAAATTAATGTTTTGCGTAAAAAGGGCTAAGTAAAAACATTATTGGTCTTTTTTAATTTCAAGTCATTTGAAACTCCAAACACACTCTTCAGAAAAAAATTCGCTGAGGGTTTTAACTCGTAGTTTCAATGTACAGTAACCATTACCGAACCGAAGTTAAATATGTCTAAAATATCAATGCAGGCAAGTGTGAGAGGTGTAATGTGCCAACAATTTCCAAAATGGAATAGCTATTAAATGTTAACATGGACACTAATCTTAAAAAGTCAAACATGCTAAAGTTGCTAAGACGTAATACCAATAAAAAAATACATATTATAATTAATAGGTTTAAGTAAAAAAATTCTTAGTAAATCTGTTTAAAAATAATTTGCGGAAGAAACTCATGGCTTTAACTGAATCACAAACCCGTTAAAAACAACTAAGGCGCATAGTTTAAGAAAGTCTTCCGAGTGTTGATCGTAATTTTGGGCTTTGAATACGGCTGGTTAGTCACCTAAAGTTCTGTTTGAATTTTTTTTGATTTAGTAAAGCATTTAATGATGCAAACGTTTTAGGATCACTTCTGTTCTTTATATGTCGTTTTAGTGGCCCGTAAATGTTCTATCCGTTTCTTTCTCATATTTACATACCCATTAACTGAATTAATTCTCCTGACATTCTAACACAGTGTTATTTTGTTTTTATTGTGAAATGGCAATGAGTAATAGCTATGTGTCATTTCTGCTTGGCCATGATGTGATGTGTACCTGTATGGTCTTTTATCAGTCAATACTTTCTTTTGGATACTTCATGCTTCAACGTTATTTTGTATCCCTCATTGTACACTTTTAATTATTTAGTAATTTTTACCTTAGCAGTCAATTCGTCAGGAAAAGAGGAGTAAGTTAAATTTTTTTATATTTCATGTGTAACTTTGTTTTTTGATTCCACATATTTAGTGTTTCGATCAATGTCTTTTTATTGTTGATCAGATTAGCAATTCAATGTAGTTACTTTGTGTTAGCAAATAGACTTTCATCGGTTCTTGGCTGAACTTGGGTGCATACTTGCAAACTTGTGTCTCTCTAAATGTTTGTTCTTAAATGTCGATATTTCCACGTGTGGTTTTTTGAATTGACTAGATCAAATCTGTCTAATGGACAAATTAGTATCAATAATCGTGCAGGAAGCGCTATTGCTTTTTGTATCTTTTAACAGTAATTTCGTCCAACTTAATTTTCAGCTCCAGGGGCCACAGGCCCCTCTTTTTGTGCTCCAACATTATCGTCGGCTCTCAAATCGCGGAGTCCCACAGCTAGTAAACTTGCAAGTGAATAGAAGTGATTTTCAGTAGCACAACATAATCCCATACCTCGTTGATTAACCTGTAAGTTCTGAAATTCATTGTAATCATTAGGCGTGTTGTTTTTAGTCTCAATACGACTTAAATGTTTGTTTGAACCGTAATATCGTCTTGAGCGCTGGTCACCTATTTCAGCCCGGTCAATGTACTCCTAATGCCGTTTCACTGTATAGTAATTAGTCCCATATCTTTCCTCAAGATTTCGCGACTTTGAGTTAACCTTTTGTGGCATTAACCAATTTTATGGCAAATTGCGAATCATGTATCCAGTTAGCTATCGGAAAGCCTTTTTGGCATATGATCAAGGGAGTTCGCAATATCCGTGTGTTCGTCCATTCGGTTTATTTTTAACTCCTTACGTGTCTTTCATTAACCAAGCCGTATGCAGCAAACG